CATATATATATATATACACACACACACACACATATATATATATATATACACACACAAATATATATAAATATTTTAAAAGACATCATGAGATTCGAACCTGAGATTATTAGTGTGAAAAACACTCTCCTAACCACTCGACAAACTGTTTTCAGTTTGGTCGAGTGGTTAGGAGAGTGTTTTTCACACTGATCCCAGGTTCGAATACCATGATATTTTTAAAATATTTTTTTGGTGAAAACAGTTTAATCGAGTGGTTAGTAGAGTGTTTTCCACACTATATACAGTACATATACATACATATATAGACATATTATATATACATATACATACATCATACATATATATATGTATGCACATATAATTTACAATTATATATGTGCATACATATACACACATATAATTTACAATTTAGTCTTCACAGTATATGATATATATTAATCATAATACTAATAGAGATAAATTTTAAACCACCTTGCAGTAATACTATAATTATATATAAATTTTGTACATACACACACACATATATAATATATATATATATATATATATATTAATATTTACAATTTAACCTTCACAGTATATGATATATATATATATATAAATCATAAATCATAATACTAATAGAGACTTTTAAACCACCTTGCAGTAATACTATAATTATATATAAATATAATATATATATTATATAATTATATTATATATATAAAATATATATAAATAAAGAATGAATACAGCAATTTAAAATAAATCACAGCAAGATATTTGTTTCACAAGATTTTATTTATTTCATTTTCACATCCAAAGTAAACAATAATCATTGAGCATGAAATAATTGTTTAAAAAATAAGTTACTATCACTAAATAATTAAATGAAACTACAAAAAATCAATAATTAAACAAAGGAGCAAAACCAAAATATAATATTGTAATAAATTTAATAATACTGAAGTTAAAAATATGAGAGCACAATTCAGTATGAGCATCAGCAGAAGTGTCATTCTAAAAAAAATCACATGACTACTCTAAGGCCACATTCAAATATTAACCGGTCAATCATGCTTTAAAATTTAAACATTCTGGGTTTAAAGTTCCATGGATTGGCTGGGGAATATAACAAATAAACATATCAAGGCTTGCTGATCAAATACATGGCTATAGACTCGCACAAAATCAGGCCTGTTTTACTCTTAAAAATTTAAACTTTAAACTTTGAACAAAAAACAAGTTTGGTGGAAAAAATAGATATTCAAAAATGTAAAACATTTGGTCTTTTCAATGACTGTATGTCAATGACATATTTATGAATACATACCTTCTTGTATTATAACTAGTTTTGGTTATGTAAGCAATTTCTGAGGTAAGCTTTGTCCATGAATGATAATCTAATATTTGGCATTCACCTCACAAAATTCAAGTCATTAACACATTCATTGGGTTTTTTAGAGAATATGGTGGACCAAATTAACTTGGCCATTAGTTGAGCAAATTACATGTCAATCATGCCTGTCTTTGGGTCTTGTAAGAATCTATAGAATAACCATAGTTCACATGTTATTCCCTAAACAGTAATCCATATCAAAAATTGATCCAATACTCAAGAAACTAATTCGAATTATGCTGGACAGCTCAACTACATGTTAACAGAGTATAGTATATTTTGGTTAAAAGTTATACAAAGTATTGCACATCTAAACATGAAATTTATTATAAATTAAAGCTTTGAACATTATTCACCTACATACTAAAATAACAAAAAACTCTACAATTTCAAAGAAGTATCAAAACCGAATACAGGAGGCTAAGAAAAAGCAACAATTTTTGGCCTATTGTTAATGAAAAAATATTAATATAAAGAAGACAGAAAGATTGAGAAAACTCAAATGCGCAAGTACTGTACTATCTGCATGGTGTAGGATGAAAACCTATTCAATACTAGCACTTCACATCTACAATGGCCCTCCATGAGTAGTTAAATACAAACACTAATAGACATATTCCAATATAATCCTGTGCTATTATTAAAATCTATATACACTAATACATTATTATAAAGTGGAATTTTCAGAAGACGAAGGACAATGTAATCTGAAAATCAATAACAGATTCAATAAATGAAAACGCACGTCCCATTTGCATGTTATTAAGATAATGTTGATGAAATTCTACATTACAAGATGCATTCATCTACCTTTTAAAAAAAACACATCAAAGAAATTACAAAATTTGTTTTAGAAGACATCATATCATGGTTGATAGTGGCACCTAATATTAAATTGATTGACTGTTCAAGTTGATTTAGGTAGATTTTACTGTTTATATATTATACTATGCTTTAAAAAAAAAAACTATTTGGAAATAAAGATGATTTAAGTAAAGAGATCGATATTGTGTATCGATAATTGTTTCAACTAACTGTGAACTTAGGGTTAATTTACATTCGACATCCAGACTTCATCAACTTGATGCTGACTTACACTTACAGCAATTGGCTGTTAAATCAACAAATACAGTAAATCTGATACAGTACCAATGATAAATTAATTTCTAAGAACAATACAATTTTCAAACGATAAATTAATTCATCAAATAATTAATATTTAAAAGTATAAATTACTGTACTACAAATCATACCATTCATATTATTTCTCCTGACGCAAAAATGACATTGGAATATAAATTACTAATAACAATATAGAACCCACATTCACTGCAAGGCAACCTTATAGAAATAAAAATAACCAAATTAATTTAAGGCTAATATTACAATGTTATCTCGTTATAATAGATAATATCACATCTTCATTAGAAGTATGCACTTCCTCAATTTATATTACCATAATTTATTAATACCAACATAATTGAATAATAATAATTAGTACAGTCAAGCAAGTACTTGGTATATACCGTATTAACAGCCAACTCATAAATTCTAAAATAGTATCTTATATTACAAAATAATTACATTTACTGCTTTATATTACCTGTCAAAATATTATTGCACACATCACATTTTGTTCTTGATTTCAAAATAATTTACAAGGTCCAATTTATGATAAAATAACAAAATTCAAAAATGCCTCTTTGTAATTTCCATAATAGCCTCTCTGGGTACTTTACACATCAATTTTAATCTATTCTGATCAACTGATGAAGCTAAAAATAGAACTAACAAAACCTTATTTACTCACAAGATAACAATTTAATTTGGCATGACATACTTTAAAAAAAACAGGGATAAACATAGATGATAAAAAAATAAATTAGAAAATAAGGTGGTATGGTACTTCCAGTAAGGACTTATAAATTTCAAATTAAAATAGCTTTCTCGAAATTTGAAGTACTGGAGATGAAAAGGTGGTATGAAGATTGGTTGGTATACCTGTACTAATATCTAAGTATAATACTATACTATATTGGTGCAACATAAATTTAGTATAGTACCAAAATATACCAATGCAACATCAGTAACCGGTATGTTATGGTTGTATACTGTATGTTGCACCATTATAGTATAAACTAGTATAAGAAAACAAAGTTTATTTTTTTCCCGCCCTTCTCTGACGTTCTTTAAAAAAATAAGTTTGTGAAACAAGGTATAAAAAAAGTCTTGTCTAATCTTATTGGGCTTGTAACTGCAGCCATTAAAATCAGAAATAATTGGATCTATCTGAAAAAAATCCTACAGAAATAGGTTCAATAATTGAATCCTATTCACAATTTACCAATAAATTATCATAAAAATTCCAATTTACTGTTATAATACAATACATGCCCAAATGCGAGGTAGGTTGGATCATAATAGACCTTTAGCACAATAGCTACAGTATACTATTACTAGTAATATTTACATCCACCTGTTCTAGGCCAACCATGTTATCAATTTCAGGCTTCCTGTGGGGATTCAAGAGGGGATAACATCATTGAGTATATGCTGGATATTCTAGGAGAAATTTTCACCTACAGTATTCATAACTACTACTATAGAACACAATGATTTTGATTAGTCATATTCTTGGAAGACTTATTTATTATAGAATATCTTTATATAAATTTGACACAATTCAAATAATAATCATTAAAAATAGCCTTAGTATAGCTGCTAGTCTGTCTTATACATCAGACACGGTACAACAAACCATCTCATATCTCATATGAGTTTTTGAGGAGAAGAATTTTCATTTTTTTAATTAGATTTTTTCTCTACAGCCAGCCAAGTACTTGTTGACCTTACTGAGATGCCTGCATATTAAATTGTAAATACAAAGGGCTTTCATTATCCATAAGAATATTCGTAGTAGCATGCATAACAATGTACTGTACTATAATTATATGAGTGTATTTGTAGTTAATAGCAGTCAACAGGTTTAGTGTTAAAATTGTTATCGGTTCTCAGGCCTAAGTAATTTTTTTCTACTCAAGTATAAAATCTATTTTTTTTAGTTATATGCTTTATTATTCTTATATTTAAAATGCAGGAAAAAGACCATAACAGGTTATTTTGGTCTTTTTTTAAAATTTAATCTCCACAGAAATTAAGGATAAAATTGTAATTGAAAAAAAGGCTTATCATCTTGGAAATGAACTATAGAGGGCAGCATCCTTTACTATCAATACTTTCATCAACCAGATTCAGTGACTTCTCTATCTCCTTATCTTCTTTATCGAGAAGGTATCGTGCCATAATGTACATCGCCCTCAAAACATTGTCACCACTTTTTGCACTGGTTTCCATGAATGAACAGTTGTATGTCTAGAGATGGAAAAGACAAAAGTAGCTGCTTCAAATACATTTCTATTCATGATTCAGATATTAATAATGAATAAACCACAACTTGAACTTCAAAAATAGCTGTTATTATAGGCAGCTTCAAATTAACTTGGTAAAACTTGGTAACCAAATTAACTGGGTAAATAACTTGATAACCCAATTAACTGGGTAAATAAATTGGTAAAAATTTATTTACCAACAGTTGTAATTACGATTACAATTGTCAATTACATTTCATTATATAACCCAACTGTGATGAATGCATTCCTCTACACAAAAGCACCTCCCCATTTAAACAGGAAGCTAAAACTTAATAAATGCTGGCTATGCCATTCACTGTAATTGCTCATGGCTCCTGCCCTGTGACCAAGATAGTGGTTTCAATGCATGTTTTTGATTAGTATTCCGAATTTCTGTTTACCATCTATTAGGTTGACTTGTGTACATATTCATACCACTGTTACATCATATTTGCATAAATCAGTCACATGAATTGCAGTCAGTCACCTGATTTGTACAGATCAGTCACATAATTTGTATAGATCAGTCACATGATTTGTATAGCAGTCACATGATTTGTATAGATCAGTCATATGATTTGAATAGATCAGTCACATTATTTGAATAAATGAGTAACATGATTTGTATAGATATGTCACATGATTAGTGTAGATCAGTCACATGATGCAATAGATCAGAATGTTTTCATTTCATGTTTTTTTTTTACCTACCTCAGCAAACTTTCTGGCAACATCATCCTTGACTGGCTTAAGTTCTTGTTTCTGAACCAAGTCAGTTTTGTTACCAATCATCATCTTCACTACTCCATCTTCTGCATTCTCCTGTTATAAAATAATGAATTTGCATACCATTACTTTTAATATATCAGGTTAACTACTTTAAACTATCTGACATAGAGATTCCATATCTATTATTATCAATCACCATGCTTAAAACTTTGCACTAAACTTGTCAAATGGAAATGCAAATTACATGTATAGACAATTTCTAATTATTTATGTGTTGTTTATTTATAAAGGGATATAGTGTATACTACTATGATAAAAATATCAATAACAGTATTATAAAACAACAAATGAAACAGTAAGCAACAGTACAACCACCACAACAACAGCAATTAACAATAAGAGCAACCACAATACAAATAATAATAAACATAGCAGCAACAACAACAACAGCAGAGCAGCAACAACAACAGCACAGCAACAAGAAAAACATCAACAAAAATATAATATGTATGGAGGATCTATATGCTACTGTATACATTAATACAGAATATAATTGTATGCACACGCTGTTGGATAATGGCTAGGTTGTAGCAAAAATTGGAAAATTAAGTTATTGGTATTTTCAGATGCTTGAGAATGTAATCTTTAAAATGACTTGACTCATTGAAATTGGACATTTCAAGCATGTTATTGGGAAGTGATAGTATAGCACTCTTAAAATCCAGATATACATAATTTTGAGTAATTGCACACTATTTTGTATAGAACAATATAAAGTATAGAACAGCAGCACATCGAGAGTAACAATATAGAATTTATTCTCTAGCTTTCGTCCACACAGTGGACTTCATACAGTTTCCTGATGTTGACCACTTCTAGAAGAAACACATTGGGACATGTTAATGTATTGTGATTTTAAAAAATTTTTAATTTAGGCCAATTTTGTGCTCTCATATTTTATAACTCATTACTCAATATTGGCCTAAGTGACAACTTTCATTTTTGCCACAACATGCTTCATATACTGTATGCATATTGTAAATGTTCAATACTGTAAAATGTACAAAATGAATTACTTGCACAGTACTATATGCCTCATATACTGTATGCATATTATAAATGTTCAATACTGTAAAATGTACAAAATGAATTACTTGCACAGTACTATATGCCTCATATACTGTATGCATATTGTACATGTTCAATACTGTATAATGTACAACATGAATTACTTGCACAGTACTACTATATGCCTCATATACTGTATGCATATTGTACATGTTCAATACTGTAAAATGTACAAAATGAATTACTTGCACAGTACTATATGCCTCATATACTGTATGCATATTGTACATGTTCAATACTGTATAATGTACAACATGAATTACTTGCACAGTACTATATGCCTCATATACTGTATGCATATTGTACATGTTCAATACTGTATAATGTACAAAATGAATTACTTGCACAGTACTATTGTTAAGCACACTATACTCAATGCATGCACTATGCCTCAAATACTGTATGCATATTGTACATATACAATACTGTATGCCAAAAAATATAAAATACTTGCAAAGTACTACATTTATTGTTAAGCACACTATACTCAATGCATGCTCAATGTATGTACTATGCCTCATATACTCTATGCATATTGTACATATACAATACTGTATGCCAAAAAAAAAATACTTGCAAAGTACTACATTTCTATTGTTAAGCACACTATACTCAATGCATGTACTGCTGCATATACTGTATGCATATTGTACAATACTGTATACAAAATGAATTACTTGCACAGTACTACGTTTATTGTTAAATATTCAATGCATGTACTAACACGTTATATTTTCATTGCGGATTTTTTGGGCTCAGTACGGACTCCAAAAGTATGCATTTTCTTTTAGTTTTAAGGTTTATGCGGATTTTATAAGTCCGCAATGAAGATATAACGTGTTTACTATGTGCACTCTCAAATGTACTGAATATTGAATGTCCCTAAAAATGCAACTATATAATATACAGTTTCAATACTATTGTGTATTGTATACATCATTTTATCAGGTCTATTTTGAAACAGCGATACCAACGTCTAGCAATTTTCACTGGGAGACATCCAGCAGCCTAGCCTGAGCAAATGTTGTTGTTCCAGAGACATATGTCATTTTGATTACCTTGACAACCAAAAACACAGATGGTTTTATGCGCCCCATATTTCCTGTTTTTTTTTTTTATTTTGTTTTCAAAGACTAGCCTAGGCTTCTACAAAAACAAGGTCGAACACCAGTCACAGAGCACAGATAAACACCGGTGGAAACTACCATAAAGCAAAATGACTAGGCCTCTGGATGTCCCCTGGTGGTAGTTGTCAGGTTCTCAAAAATTTTAATTTCAAATTTAGCAAAAATACCTCAATACTGTTCATCCAGTTACGAACACTCAGGAACGAGCCCTCACAATTCACATCATACATGACGACAATACCATCTGCTTTGCGGAAGTACTGTTTAGTGATGCTGCGGAACCGCTCCTGTCCCGCCGTGTCCCAGAGCTGCAACGCAACTATTTTATTTTCTACTTTCACTGCCTTGATCCTAAAATCAACACCTGAAAGGAAAAATGTTTTAATGCCTTTTTACTTCATATATATATTAATATGCATTAGATTGGATTGGATTTATTTGGTGTAAACCCAAGGATAATCCACAAAAGTCTGAAGAAGTCTTATTTAAAGTGGATGGTGGTGATTGATAGTACGCTGAGAGACAATCCTCTACTCTTTTCCGGATACTGTACAGCGTGCATACGGGCCATAATGCACACAGGCACGCACAGGACCAACGGCTTATACATTTTTATTTAAAAGACGGTGTGCTAACTTGCATTTCAGCCTTCCGGCTGAAACAAAAGGAGAGCAGCAATGAGAATTGAACCGGGGCCAAGAGATCTTCATGGTTCAGTGGCACAGTGGCTACCACCAGTTTAGCCAACTGAGCTAAGCTGCAATTAACAGAAGGAAGTGTGTGAGCATTAGTACATTATTTAGGTTTATTATAATATATTACTCTATAACTACGGCTCCCACAATAGACATTTCTGGAGCGTCAATCTAATTTAACAACCGACCAATCAGAACAGTGTTTTTTACACTGTCCTTTTTTGGGACCTTAGCAACAATATCCAAGGGCGGGGTTTAGTGGAAAGAACATTATACACTGGTTATGCAACATTGCTAGCTTTCTTGCAACAGTCACTCTAATTATCTTCATCTATGTATATTATCCTTGTTTAGAGTTTGATCATCATTGGCTAAAGTTAAATTTAAAGACAATAGAAAGCCATTTGCAAAAATTTGTGTTGTTTTGTATATATAAAAACATTAGGGGTTCACACTGTCCCATTACTTCCCCAATCATCCAGATGTTTGAAGGTGGCCTTGTAGCTCAATTATTCAATCCTGTGTAAAACCATGATATTAGCATTCACAGAGATTAATGTTATTATTCATATTATTCAATGTAAAGTTGTATTGATTATACTGGTATATTCTAGTGTAAATGCCAAAGTTAAGTTTTTTAAACATAAGAGGATGAAAACGATAAACAAAAATCATGATGTCAATATACTATAATAACTTGGCACTTTAACAAACACAATATATGTAGGCCTAGCATAGTTTTTGAAGGTGAGAAGAGGAGTTGAATAGCATGGTTCTGGGTCAAATTCTTGTGATAGCAGAACAACTCCACTCCCTAAGCCCCTTAAAGAAACTTGGTTGACAAAGAAAGCCTAATCCACCCAGTAATTGAAGTGACATGCTTTTGGTTGCGAATGAAATAAATAAAATAAAAATATACAGACCATCTTACCTATTGTTGCACTGAATGAGTTTTTGAAACTGTCTGTTGTGAATCGATGGAGGAAAGTTGTCTTGCCAACTCCAGAGTCTCCGATGAATACAACTTTGAAAACTCTTTCTGGAATCATAGCATCAACACCTACCTGCTACGAATAAAATATACCACCTCAAAATACACTAATTAAGTTACAAAGTAAGTTTAAGATGTAAAGGCAAGTACGGCCGTCCCATGGTAAAAACAACGTAACTGCTATTATATTTTTGTGCTCTTTCGTTGTTTTACCTTGGAACGACCGAGTAGTGCAATTGCTATTTAGATAAAGCTTCGTATTGGCAGAATTTTTAAAGGAGGGGGGTTTCATATCTTTTTACAAAAGGGTATGCCTATTTCAGACCACACTCACCTCAGCTCACCATGGTTAAGGATATAACACTGCAGATGTCTGAAAATTGCACCCATTGAACAACACCAGTTATGGGAATGTACATATCATTTGAAACATATATTAATCATATACAATATATGAATACATTTTTTTCTAGAATAAATGAAATAAGATATTAAAGCAACCAAAGAAGGCAATTGCCCACGAAGATTTAAAATAAAATCTTGTGATGGGTCTTAGACCAATATGTATCTATAAATTACCTTACCTCTAAGAGTTCAGTTTCCATATCAACTTTAGCCTGACAGCCTACAGGTTCTACCCTCTCTGCCTCCTGGCTTCTGCCTGTTGGAAGTCTTGGCCTGGTGGTTTTAGGGTCTGAGAAAGCAGAGTTTTCAGACACTGGTAGGCTTGGTAAACGCCTTATTCCCTTACTGTGACTACTACTCCTGCAATTAAGCAGCATAGCTTTAAATATCAAATGAAAGATCTTAGGTTTAATGTACATTTTGAATTATTGTTATCATATATAAATGTAGAACTTCCTTTTAGGTCCGGGGGATGACCAAAATATAAAATAATCAGTTATTTATTCATATAGGCCACATAGTTTACTTTTAAACAAGTAATTTTCTCCTATAGAGCAAGGAGGTATAAAATACCTCCTTGTATAGAGTAACCAATATATCCACATCAATATTAAAAAAAATAAATAACATTCTTCAATCTTACCCTTTCCTTATATACATTGTTGAAGTAATTTTTAAATAGCATTTTACATAATTTATTTAAATCTATATTTTGGATTGCTAATATACATGATTTTACTGGTTTCATTGAGCTCTAGATTTGCATTTTAAATACTATTTTGACAGGAGTAAAATTGATAACCAAGAGCAAACATGACAACAGCTGACCAGTCACTCATTACCAAAGTTCAAATGGAAATCAACTGTTATATCTTTTTCAATATTAAGATGAGTGAGATGATAAATATATATATTTTTTTGCGATTTTTACTTACTGTTGGTTTTCATGTCCTAGTTTCTTCTCATTCGGTGAACTTGAAAGACTTCTAACACTTCCGTTACGGTCTTCAACACCATTTTCAAAAGATTTATGTATTTGATTTTTATTTGAATTTGGTGAATGCATGTGTAAATCCTTGCACGATATGTGTCCATTCGCAGAATGAAGTGGTGTACTCGTCATGCACGTTATTTCCGCATTCTCTACATTCCTAAATGGATCACTAGTAAGCACACTTAAATTAGCATTAAAGTCACTGCTACCTGGCTGTTGAGTGCGTGCCAGTATTGCTGTCTGAGTGAAATAATTTTCATCTACCTCAATACTGTCATCACTATCATTGTCTGTAATTTTTTCCTCATTTCTATCCTCTTCATCCTCCTCCCCATCCTCTTCCCCCTCCGACAACTGCTCTTCACTCCCTCCTAATTCTCCTCTTCTTTTTGTTCCTCCAATTTTTTTCCTTTTAGCTCTCGTACTAAGAAGAGAATTAAAAGCATAAATACTGGAAAAACATTCAATAAAAAATAAAAGAACAATACTGTATATAATAATGTCACATGACAAAGTAAACACATTCCACAAACATTTACATGTTATATAAAATTTCACATAATTTTTTAAGACAATTAAGACGTTTACAAGTTGCTTGATTATAAATTATAAATTAGTAACATTTTAATGTCCCACTACCTGGATGAGTTAAGGCCAACTCAGACAGCGTCGGCTGACGCAGCCCGACCCAATTTATCGTCGGGGACAGTCTTAAGCCGTCGTGAGAAACATTAAACACGTTTAATATTCTACTACGCGACTGCCCCCGACGCACACCATCGCGTCTGTGTTCAACTCACACAGACCCGACACGACAACAAATCGCGTCGGGCTGCGTCGGCCGCTGCGGTCTGAGTTGGCCTTTATGGTCTGCTACTCTACTATATTCATGTGGTTGAAACAGCCATCTAGCAGGAATTAAAAAGCTTTTTCTAGACTATCACATTTCATGTGATCTGCCCATATGGGACGTGACAATCATACACCCATACATGGGCAAATTACAGATTTTTGTGATGTAAATTTTCTTTATGTTAGCACTTTTATTCTATATACCAGTATTAGCATTATCCTATTAGGTTATTTATCCAAAGACTACGGAGGTCATGACTTCATAACATCGTATGTATTGCAAAGTACAAATGATGTTAAGTGGTCATTATGGTTAAACATGTGTACTCTATGTATATTAAACTAAAAACTAAACTTTTAATTTTTTTTTTAAAAGTTTTCGCTTGATATAGTACTATAAGCTATTATATTTTGAACTATAATAAAATGGATCGTTCCAGAGTGTCTATCAAACTAACTGATCAATCAGAACAGGGCCATCAAACTATTAAACTGATCAATCAGAACAGGGCCATCAAACTAACTGACCAATCAGAACAGGGACATCAATACGCGCATGTCCCACAAACACACATGGAACCTTAAACGCAATATCCAAGGGGTGTAAGTGAAACGGTCCATTGTTAGAGCATATTCAACACATCAGCCTGAATGTTTATACTGTATGAGGCTTACCGTCCAAAACTAGCGTACTGTCGCTAAATGTTAAAAGTAATTAGCATAAAAACGTGGCAGTATTGTATACTTCAGTACAGAGAGGCCGTAATAATTTTACTCTAAGCCTTGGCAACAGTAAGTCAATTCCATTACAATAAAATATTACTTTAAAGCTTATAATGCAGTGAATATGAATAATATATTAAAGTACATTTTCTAGCTTTGGTTACTTATGTTGTTTTTGGCAAGACAAGCCCCATATTTTCATTAGGAAAAAAATATTTTTAAAATGGTTGATAGAATATGGTGACTTGGTTCTTATTTTTTTTTTTTTTTATCTTAACATTTCAACAGTCACAATAGCAACAAAGGCAATACAGTACTACTATGACAGACATAAAAAATAGATTTACACACAAACACCAGAGTGATGAAAATATCAAATTTTGACTACAAAGTTTGTAGTCACACAATACACTAGCACAATTACATCATGTATACAAAATGCCAACAGCAGTGTTAGAAATGAGACAATTAATTTGTATAATAATATACATTTAAAAAGTAAATTAACTATATAATTAAAAAATCATTTAAGATTATATATAAGAAAATATGATCGAAAAAGATAGTAATAAAGAAATTTAATATTGGGTTAAAGCATAATAACTATCGGAAATTTTAGATATTGTTAGCTGTTGTAGGAATTTGCAGGGGCAGATCCAGAATTTTCCAAACAGGTAGGAGAGGGGGCAGGGGGCAGCAAATGTTCAGAATTTCAGAATAGAAAAGTGAGTAGCGCTAATTTCAATACATAACATTAGGGAACAGTTAACTTAATTTAACTGTTCCCTGATAACATTGATATGCATTGAAATTTTTTATATTTAGTGGCAAAACTGGGGGGGGGGGCACACACGCTCCCATGTCCTCTCTAGTGGATCCGTGCCTGGTTTGTGTTTATCCACTACTTACATGCATTATTCACTAAATTTCTTTGTATTTGTAATGAGCAAACTAAACACATTTATTGGAATTCAATGGTGAGTTGCTAATATTTTGAAGAAGTTTTTATGTTGTTAGAATTTTTGCAATGTATTTCAAAAAGCAGTTCTGAATGCAAGGCCTTGCAATTTTAAGAATCAAAAATAGTGCAGGTGTTGTTCACAACTATCAACATTTTTGCAGGTGTACAAAGAGTTCTCCCTTCCTCCAATCTTAAAGGGTACATAAAAAATGTTAATTTTGCAAATTATTCTCTATTTTTTGTGAAGTACTTTACTAGGTTACATAAACATGTATCATCCATTGTTGCATTATAATTGGTCGGAAAATTTAGTATTTTAAATATTGCATGTTATTTTGAATCAAAATTTTCACGCATATATAAAGTGGAGAAATTTACTGATTGTACACTGAAATGAAATGTTGATATATTGTGAACAACCCACTGTCATCGATTAAAAAAGTGAACAATGAAATTTGTTTTGCCAGTTGCTAAAATTATACTAGAATACAATATAGATTAAAATATGGTTAGAAATAAAAAATTTAAATATTATAATATTAATTTACTATAATTAAATCATTGATGAGCTGCATATGATTATTTCTTCACAATCTTTGCTTTGTTTTACAGGAAAGCAATCATGTATATCATCTATGAAGATCATAGAAAGAATAGGGTTAGGGGTCAATATTCCATTGGCTACTTTAATTGAAGAACACAAAATATAACATGAAATATGCAGCTGGTATTAACTACTAGAACATTATTAGATAGATTATTAGATAAATTTACATACACCACTGTTAGTAGCATTGATATGACAGGACCATTAATAGGAGGTTTACATCCCCGGAAAGTGGGATATGGTAAAGAGTAAAAATCTCCATCAGCTCTTGTTGTATGGCCCAGTCCCAACAACAACCTGCCATATATGGCCATATACATACCAGTATTACTAGCATGCCATGATTACTATGATTATTAATTATGATAATTGATATACAGTTAGTTATATTTATTTTTTCATGCAGTTATAACATACATTGTAACTCAGAGTTCTCAATACAAGTGCCAACCAGACAGTACAAAATTGAATAGTTCTTATAATTCATCTATTTACCCACTATAAATTACGGTATCTGTACATAGTAATGTGTTATGTAAAAGTGTGAAAACTCTGAGCACAGCTCTGGTCAAGACAAACAATATAAACTGTTCTTACAAGCTTTTACAGACACACTTATACAAAACATTTAAAGTCAGACTCCGGAGGAAAACAATTTTTTGATATGTTGCAGAACTGATTTTTCTAAGACAGAAAAAGGTTGTTTGACGAAAAACTGGGGAACGGTGAACGAGATACAGATTTTTGAATATTTAAAAACTGAGGGAAAAAGGGGTGTAACTGCCCATTTTTACACCTTTTTCCCCCAGTTTTTTTAATATTCAAAAATCTGTATCTCGTTCACCGTTCCCCAGTTTTTCGTCAAACAACCTTTTTCTGTCTTAGAAAAATCAGTTCTACAACATATCAAAAAATTGTTTTCCTCCGGAACCTGACTTTAATAGCATATTGATTGACACTGGCAGGCAAATATTATGTACAGCAGGTGGCCAAAATGCAAATGAGTAATTAGCATATTATTAATGATGTTCATCCATTAGGTCGTTAAGAACATTAAATACCTTGGTGTACTGACGGAGGAAATCTCCTGGAAAGAGTGGGAGTGAAAGAACTTTGCAGCATACACGCGGAATGGAATGACATGAAAAAGAGAAAAAGAGGGAGAAATACCACACCGTTCAGAAAGAAGATGTAGGTGATGATTTAAAAAAAACACCTTTTATACACCTGTATGCAAATCTGCATTCACAGTCAAATAGAATCTGGCATTATAAATTATACGATTGACGTTGTAATAATATAATTTTAGGTACATCTTGTTAAATATTTCCAGTGTCTCAATTTTTTTTTTTTTTGCACAAATGGTGTTCTTGTTTTATCTCTCATTTGACAAATGCAACTAAGAAAAAAAAAACACCTTGATAATTTAAAATAGAAAATTAAAACAATAACCAAATAAAAACCATATGGAGTTGAAATTGTATAGAAAGTTGTTTAAACATATAAAAGTTGATGAACTAAAATAATGTATTGATTTACCAATCTGATAAAGAAGAGGTCAACCCAACTAGACAAAAGAAACTACTTGTTTATCATATTTATTAATACAGATGCGTTTTTTACCATTGTTAAATGTGACTGGCTCTGGCAAAAACAGCCGTTTGTAGGAAAAATTCAAAATTGAGCTTTTGGTGTTTTTAGATTCTGTATGAAGTCTTTTTAAACACAGTGTTTATTTCATAGAAATTGGTTGAGTATTAGCATGAATTTATGAATATTTAATTGATTGGATATCAGCCATGTAGGTTTGAGAAAACAGCTTCCAAAGAATTCAAAATCAATAATTCATTATTAAGATTTGTATTTTTAGAATAATTTTAACATACTTTTCTATTAGATTTAGTAATTGATATATTGCAGAAATGTACATCCATATATCTTCTTTCATAAAATGCAAAAACATGAAAATAGCATTTTGGGTGCTTGTGGGAAATTTGAAATTGCGACAAATGGAGGGTTTTGCCAGAGCCTGTCACAAATCTCCCTTAAAGGCAAAAAGGTTTGAGCCACTTCACCCTTACAACAGAGGTGAAATCTGACCATAAGCCCTGAACTTCCTGCCAGAATAGACCCCTTGTCAGAAAAACCACAACTAATAATAAGCAAATAAATTATATTTTCTGGTTACAATTAGAAACCACACCCATATCCCAAAACCCACAATCAACAATTTTCATATATGGCTACCAAGTTTTAGAATATAAAATATGAACCAGTGAAGATGCCTTATGAAAAGAACATGTTTTTTTTTTTTCTCAACCGCAAAAGAAAATTATTTGATAATGATGTCTAAGCATTAATAAATACTCACTTGGTAGGACTGTCATTAAAATAATTAGCAAGAATCGAGCCTTGTTTCACCATCTTCTTTTTTGGTCTATTCTTACGAGATGCCTGGAAGGAATACAAACTAGTCAAATATATGTATGCCAGAAGATGATATAACAAATCTTTAGGTGTTATAGTGTAATAATCATATTTTTATTACAAGCACATATAATCAGGTTATGAATATATTAAATCAATGATCAATGTATGAGTGATCTAGTAACACATGCCAGTGATATATATATACATAAACTATATACACAAGTACATTCCTGTCATAGTATCATCATTACAATCACTCTGCCATCACCACCATAAACCTTATTACCATATCATCATTACTACTCAACCACCACCATCACAATCTTTATATCTTTTATTTTCATCAACATCATCACAACAATTCTCAGTAGCCACTTCATAACACCATTATTTTTTGCAATTGTGGTATATTACGTCATCCATTAGTCAAAACAAATATTTTGAAATATTCCCTTATTCCATCAGCAATACACCTTTTTAATAATAAATTCGTTAGATAATTTTTCTGCATAAAATCATTCATTTTGACTATTATTAAATTCCATTGAAAAGAAATTGCTGTTTCTTTCTAAATTGCTTTTAATATAGTTTATTCAATTATTTTGAAACTTGCTATGTTTGCTCAAACCTTAATTGCAATAACAATTATATATTAATAAACAATTCAATTGTTAATCATATTCATAATATGGGCGCGAAGGTGAAGTGGGGCTCAATGATCAGTTCAGGGGCGCTAACTTGCAAAAGTCTTCCATTAGGTGAGACTTTTTTTATACTTTATTCGCAAAATTATTTTTTCAAAGATCGTCAGAGAAGGGCAGAAAAAAAAATTTGTTCTTTTATTTAGCAAATGGTTCTGCCAAAAACATCCTGACAGAGAAAATCAAAATAAAATGTGATTGTTGAATGTAATCTGTGTAATAATGGGATGGTTAAATGCTTTAAATATATATAATTAGGATGAAATATATACATCTTAATTTGGTGATTTCAATTCAGCAGCGGCCGAAATAAAAATTTAAAAAATCTTTTATTTTTTTCTGCAATTTCCATTATTTTGTGGCGGTGGGTACGCTAATTGACCAAAAATAAAATTGAATTTTCATTTGAAATCGTCGAAATCATAAAAAAGTCTTGGTGATAACAGATTGTGGTAAAGACCTATAATACATATGAAGACAAGGCTACATGATATAAAATATGATTGGATGTACCTTTACAGAACATTGTCAAGAGAAAAAATGTAGTTTAATCTACTTTAGGCTATACTAATCACGAACACTAAGTGAGTAGTTGGACATGCTATGAATTCAAAACACAGTGTGCAAAAATGGTACAAATAGAAATAACAATAACAATTAGTGCAATAATAACATATTGCAGGTGTATGGGTAATAGCAGCAGCATGAGTAGCCATAGATGCTGGGGCACAGTAATTAGCAGCAGTCACAGCAGCAGTAGAAAGAGTAGTTCACTAATATTGAAGGTGCAGCTTGGTGTTTAAGATGCTTGCCTTCCAGTCTCAGGTCATTGGTTTAATCCTGTTACAGCACAGAATTTATACTCAATACTCAAAAAACTTCTCCACTTTCAAAAAACCTGGTTTCCATAACAATGCTCCACACTATCGCTAACATTCGCCAACCATTGTCTGTGACTATCGGTTTATTCTCGGACCAATAAATATTTGAACACTAGGCCCTATGCCTTCTATTTCTCTTTAAACGTTATTAAGTTCCTTTATGCTCTTGTCATATATAAAATTATTATTTCATATTTAACAACTTTTATCAAAAATTAGATTTTATCCTCTCACAAGAAAATCAAGTGTAATGATTGTTATCATCACTACTCAGATAGTCTTCCAACTGCATCCGCAGCCGACAGCTATGTAGCGTAGCATGCTTTACAGAAACCAGGCTTATAGTAAGCCCCATAGTTTTGGGACTTAATTGGTTTATAAAGCATCACATTATTATATTTACAGCATCCTTAATATAGCCAAGAGTATCAGCCAAACTTCCAGGATAGGCTGGAAGAGTCACCCTCTAAAATGGTTAAAAAATAATATGTGGTTGTGATATTAGGAGCAGCAGCAGTAATAGTAGTATTAGTGGTAGTTGTAGTTAAACGTTGACGATTTCATAACGTTACTACAGTATGTTACCTTCCCAGTATATGCGGGTACCCATTTATCATCCTGGTCTGTCTCTCCCTGTATAAATGGGTAGCGGCACATGCTGGGAAGGAAGCGATCCCTTCCAAGCATTGCAGTGTGGACATGCTCAATGCTTAAGAAAGAGGGACTCCAGACCTGTACAGGTTCAACTATCTACTTTGATAACAGAAAAAGTATTGCTTTGAATGGATCTTGAAATAATGAGAACAAAATGGCTCTAAAAACCTAAATGATCACAATACTGAAAACAAACTAAAAAAAAAAAACAAAAAAAAAACTACATTTGATATAAACCTTTCTTCTTTAATAAATAATTATGAAAATAAGGTGTGTTTGTGATAGCTATGGTTTTTTTTAAAGCTAACTGTGCAGTGACAAGGCATGTTATAAATGCTTGTATATTATACCTCCATCAATTCCTCCTCCAGACTTGGCGCCCTCTAGTGTGTGACAAGATCGAAGCAAAAGACAAGAAAGCATTGAAAACATTAAATAATGCAAAACATTGACATACAACACACATACATGGGAACAAAAAACAATTTAAAAAAAGTACTGAATCGGAATTTAATATCAAATATATTTACACATATAATCACACATAATACTTTTAAAGTAAATACTAGAATATAAATGTGTGGCAGACAAAACTATTACCACAAAATATAACCACTTAAGTTTTAATTAACACAGTCAAATCCTTCATGTTACTTGAAATAGTTCACTCTGTGAACAAATTCTTATAATTATTAGCAATAAGTCCCTGTTATTTATTATTCCTGTAAGAATATAATACAGCCACCAAAATTATTTCATCTTTACAAGAGAAATGCTACAGAATAGTCTAGTATTTGTATCAAACCCCCTAAATTTTGATCAATCCTAAATGCACCACATGTGTATAATCCCATCTCCTAATTTCAGACGATTGAGATTAAAATTTTATGTGCCTCAAATGAACATTAAATGAAAGTAAAACAAACCAAAAATGAGTTACTTATAGGCGCCGCGGTGGACTCCCTGAGGCTTACTGTAGGCTGGACCTCTTGATAGTAGCCTTGATAGTACAGGCCCACAGTTGTTAGCATTTTATGTTCCCTGGACAGAAACCCATCTCCCAAATGCAACTCGATTAATAGAAGAGGTGATGGGCTTACAAACCTAACCATTAATTATGTTTATTCTTGGAGGTATAATACCTACAATACTGCCCTCTATAAATTACAAAACAATAATGCTACCAAAGGGTTTCCATGTAATTTGTTGATCTGTGTTTTTGTGGTCAAGTATTGCTGCTCTGTCAGTACAAATAGAGTACCATTTTTGAGAAGAGTTGTTTTTGGAATTGGTCTTGTGTAAAACACAAATGGCCCATGTGTAATAAAGAGCTCATTCTCTCTTCAAAAATTGATGGTTTTTTATGCTATATAGCAAAGCCTTTTAATATTACTCTATTCCAATCATACACACAAATAAATCAATGGTTTGATATTGATGATGGTGATGACGACAATGATGATAATGAGTGCTCTCTGAAACTGATTTGCTTGATAAAAAGATCCAGTTCAGAAATTAAATTTGTATTAAAAACATATTATTAACATGTAGCCCAATAATTGAATTAGTCAGTTGACAGTCTGTTGACGCCAATATTTTTATTATTAAAAACACTCATAATTCCAGGCCTACTTGCAATTACAAATTTTCTAGAACAGTGTGATACCATAAGTTACTTTCACTTTTAGATTTATTTTTTGGTTGCATGTTAATATTTTCCCCCATTTTTTTCCCAATGAAGAATGATGAGTTCAGGATAATTACATTTACACCTATGTCAGCTCCAAACTAATTAAGTTTGTTGGTGAGGCTTTATAATAAACAATTGATAAAATGAAAGTCAGTAAAAGCAGCAAACACAGCAATGTGCAGTGATTATTATGATCAACACATTCAAATGTTGTACTGAAGAAAAAGCAAAAATAAGATAAGACTTGTTTTTGGTGTTGCAGTGAAATTGGAGCTGTCATGAAGCAAACAGACAATTACAAAACAAAAAAGAGAGAGAGAAAAAGAAAGACATGCAAGCAATCAAAACAAAACTACATAATGAATTACGTTTATTAGATTTTGTCTGATGAAGTAGAGGAACATTCAACAGACATGGAACAAACAATTTGGTGTTGATCAGGGATGCCTAAAACAAATATACTGTACACTAAAGCCAAAAACTCACTGTGCCCGAAGGTCGTCAGCCGCGCAATTCTATGGAAAATGCAACGGCGCGATGCACACGGAATGATAGTTTTTAATGAGAATCTGTTCAGGCTGCCACCGACAATCAGCAGACGATTTCGCGTCGCAATTTCGGGAATGGAGTTGGATTTGACGGCCGAACGATACAGCGAGTTCTCAGCTTAAGAGTCTGACAAACATAGTCTATGGCTAGTCTATTAGGAAATCAGAATTTCTCATTTAATTTAAGAATGAAGATTATTATAATATGAGTAAAACAAATGCAAGAGTAAAATACACTTCAAACAACAATTGACTAAATATTAACTAGGGTCACACTGTGTGTCGATGGTCAGCAACTGATGTAATTGCTTGGAGACCAAAAAGCGATGAAATGAATGCGACAGAAAATGTTTAATGATGATCCCCTCTGACTAAGAGGGAGTATTGTTATATGCAGTGTGCCCTGCTTTGGCCTCATGAAATGAAAAAAAAACTCTACTTTTCTAGTTTTGAAAGGCATGTGGGAATCTAAGAGGGAGTATTGTTATATGCTCATACAGAACAGAGATGAATTTGTCAGCCAACTGTAGGTACAGTAGTTGCAGTGTGCCCTGCTTTGGCCTCATGAAATGAAAAAAAATAAACTCTACTTTTCTAGTTTTGAAAGGCATGTGGGAATCTACTATGCAATCATCTACACACTTTCTGAAATAACTATCTTACTTTTTATTAAGGTAAGCAGAAGAGTTGTTAATAGCATTAACCTCGGTTTCCATAGAATCGCTCACCCTACTGGCGACAGTCGCCGACAGATGTCGGGAAGTTGAACCTGGTTCGACTTTGCTGATTGGGTTGCAGATTGCGTCAGCAGCTAGCAATGCACCCTCATTTGTCTGCAACGCAATTGGCTAAGTTGAACCATGTTCAACCAACCCAAAAACTGTCGGAGACTGTCGCCGATAGGGTGAGCGATTCTATAGAAACGGGGCTTTACATTCAGAAAATGTGCACTATGAGAATATTTGTGATTTTTAATAGGTCGTTTCTGAGGTAGAAGGCATCTTTTTTACAGGATGGTTCTAATTTTATCTGCAAAGAAGGGAATTTCTTGAGTAGCATATAGATGAAAAATACACTCCTTTTATACCTCAATCAAATTGATTTTGTTTTCTGTTGTGACCTAAAAGATATAGAACTGATAAGTAACTTCATCACTTTTAATCAAAAACAAATTGAAGTTACAATCAATGTTATATAATTTGTAAAATTATTGTGTATGCAATAATGAAGAAACCTATAGTTTTAAAAAAAAAAAAAAAAACATAAAAAATAGATAATTTCTAAAATCATCATTTCCTTTTTTTCAAGTTATAAATAAAAATGAATTTAATCATGCAGCATGCATAATGGATGTGCAATAAAAACAAACATACATTTCATTCGCATAGCAAAGAAACAAATTGACCAGGTAATGAATAGGTTAACTTGCTAAAGAATAGTTGGGGAATCGGATCTGTAAAATGTTAACCTGGTAAAGAATATGTTAACCTGCTGAAACAAGTTACCAAGTGTATAAGGAAATGGTAACCTGCTAAATATAATATGAGCATCTTGATGGATACTCTGCAAAATATTATTATTATTACTAGGGAAGGCTTATTGAAAAATTAACCTAGTTAACCTGGTAATAATTAACTGGTTAAAATCTAAACATACTCTAAGCTTTAAACAAGTTATTGTTTTGCATTAATATTTATGGTGAACCATCAAAATAGTATATTCAACCTTTCAACTAATGTGAACTGTACGGTCATATTTTTATGTCTTCTCTTTATATTAAGAATATTGTGCATCATTACTTTATGCAACAAGGTATAATTTGAATCAAACTGAATTCATGATATCAGCCTTATACTGTATATTATGGTGACTACGAAGTGAATGGTGATGGTATGGTGGGTTATGTCACTAAACATTTCATGTGTAATACATTACATATTTGAGGCTTGCTGTCGCTAAATGTTAAACTGATTAGCATAAGAATGTGGCAGTAATGTATACTTTAGTACAGAGAAGCTTTAATACTCTTAACTTTGGCAATAGTAAGTGGATTTCAGTAAATGACCTATCTATTTAAAGCTTATAATGTGGAGATTATGAAATATCAACACTCTGCCCGCCAAACAAGAAGATCTCCGTGTTCGGTAACGCAACACTTGACCGCCATACACAGAGATCTCCATGTCTCAGGTTTTGTTTACGGAATCCCATAGATGGGGTAATTACCGATATGTACTAACAATCTGAACACTATATTATTATATTAAGTATTTCACTATTTGTTTGTTTACATTAGCACACAGCGGTATTGATTTATTTTTACGAAATCGCGATTATCCCAGCTTCGTTGTGCGAAATTGCGTAAATCTCCAAAAGTGAGTCATTTTCATATTTACTGTTACGGATCACAGATTGCGATTAGAATAAAGTGTTTGGTACCATTGTAAAGCTAAAATGTTCGTAGTTCTTGTATTAACTACATGTCAATCTGATCACATACGCACTCTTAACGAGGTTCGGTAAAGTGTTAAAATTTACTAAAAAGTCTGGTGGTGACTGCAGGTACTAATTTTTCAAACCCCTTGCGGCCAGAGTGTTAAAAAAAAAAATCAATTTTCTTGCTTTGGTCACTAATGCTGTTTTGACATGGCAAATTGATGAATGCTACCTGTGCAATACGAACATTGTCCTATTGTCAGATAGGATGAGAATATGACTGATGTTCATGGTACAGTTGCATTGTATACAATATAATAAATATTATTAAACATGGGTAAACATCCCACCACTGCATAAAAATTTTATAATATTTGTGATTGTTTGTAAGAAAAATTCAAAATTGAGTGCTTGGTGTTTTAATATTCTGCATGAATTCTTTAAAACAGTGTTTACTTGATGGAAATTGGTTGAGTATTAATAGCAAATTTATGAATATTTAATTCATTGGATATCAGTCATGTAGGTTTTGAGAGAACAGCTTCCGAAGATCCCAAACTCAATAGTTTATTATTAAGATTTGTATTTTAAAAATAATTTTAATATACTTTCCAGTTTAGATTAAAGATTGATATTTTGCAGAAATGTTCTTTAATATATATCTTCTTTTACAAAATGCAAAAACATGAAAATGTTCAAAATTCTGATTCTCAAACATTTTGGGTGCTTGTGGAAAATTAGAAATTGCGACAAATGGTGTGTTTTGCCAGGGCCGGTCACATTTTGTAAAATTTCATTATTTTCTTTCATTTTTTTTCTAAGTGTACTATATGAAGAAGGGTGGGCAATTGTAGTTGCCAGGAAGTGTAACTGAAATGATAAAAATCAAACATGTTCAAATCATGTCACTATAATGTAGACAGTTGATAAGGGTTGTCATTTTCAGGGGTAGAGTAATATAAGGGGATATGTGGGTGGGGTGGGGTAGGGTGGGGAGGGCAAGGTAATGATCGTACATGATTGTATTTGATTATACCTGTGGATCCTGTGACACCTGAAGTGAAATTAATGAATCACACAATAAACAAAGAACATGAATAGATTAACATTGTATAAATAAAATAAAATTACAAAAAATTAAATAATAGTAATATCAATTATAACAATATTTTTGTTAATGGTATGTTCACTTTTTTTAAATAAAAGTAATTACCTAACCTAAAACTATTGAATTAAACAATTTTATTAATGGCTGTCAGCAAGTAAAAATAAACAAATCAGTCTTCATAAGTTATAAAGCAAACTATCAAATGTACTGGTACAGATAATGTGGAATTATAATGTCTTACTGTATGTTTTGATTGCGATGTGCAAAACAGGCCTCTAAAACATTTAATAAATCTGGTCAATGATACAAAAATATTTCCCAGAAAACAAGCTCTGCAGAGTGATGTACAGAGAAAACAACTCGTACAACAAAACAATAGTAAACAAAGGATTCACAAAAGAGCATGTTATTATACCTCCATGATTTAAGACAGCATTGCTCTGCCCAGTAAACTATAATGGTTTTGACAATACCTGTGATCGCACATATATGAACATGATGATTCATATCATACCCATAGATGGGTAAATCACAGGTATTTGCCACATAAAACAGCGCTTATAAGAAAAATATATAAAGGAGGTTTTGTGAAATTGTCTTACCCTGGATTCTGCTTCAAAGGCGTCCCTTTCATCTAAAAGTTTCTTATTTACATCTCTAATAAAATATAAGAAAAAAATTAATTCCAAAAATTATAGTATATTATGATATACTATATAATTGAGTATGGGGAGCTGAGAGGATAATTCACAACCTTCTGTATATGCAGTTGGCAATTACCTTCACATGACACACTGTAATGTAATGTGGTTAGATTTATATAGAGTACTACAGTGTTACGTCACGATACTACTCCATTGCTATCGCAAAATGCAAAATGCGTTCAACCAACGCCATTTTCTCCACTGACAAACCATTGATTCCAATTTTTAACGTAATTATCAAGAAGTTGTACCTTAATTTTTCTTTGTCAATGCCAATTGATGATTAAATGTGTGTTCAATAACTAATATAATGTGAGCTTTTCGTGTTTTAGTACATTTCGATGGTAAATTATTATATATTCCACTGTTCCAGAAAGCCTATTCTAAACCATTAAGATTATGAAGTCATTCAGGTGTAATGAACGGTACCAACGTCCAGAAGGCACAACCAGGTGTTGTGACAACACGACTGTGGTACTCTATAGCGCTTTATACCGAAGTCTCCAAGCACTCGAGGTGTGGACTAGCTCGTACAGTAACTCCCTTCTCCCCTAAGGGTCTCTTCATGTCTGAGCTACCCGGTAAAACCGGTACCAGCTATCTCTCGTCTCCTCTCACAACAAGGGCTGTATGGACCAGTACACCGGGGTAATCCCCATTTGTCTCGAATGATGTAGTGGGTTCATTAATGTGCACATGAGCCAAATTGTGTACACTGGGCCTATGGTTTATAATCATTATCTGAGAAGACTTGTTCCACTATCAGAACCTTTAGACGAGCTGTTCAAACCAGCGCTGATATTATGGCTGTACATTGCAAAGCCCCTGCCTTAATCACTCTTTTTTTTTGGTGCACAACTGGGACTGATGGGTAAATCATCCAATCTGGTATGAGAATAAAGTACACCATACAAGCTAAGGTTGGCATGGTAGGTTTTTAAACCAGGATTAGTGCATTCCATGAGGTTTAAAGACAGCACCCGGCAAAAAAAATTATGTATTAAGCACAATACCTTAACATATCCAGCTGATAGACAAGACTATCCCTCTCATTATTAATCCCCTGTGTCATCCGTAACGTGTGCCTTTAAAAAATATATAAAAACAATTTAATATGCTTAAAAATACGCAAGTTTGATATTACAGTACACTAATGAGTTGGAATGTAAAAAAAAAGAAATTAAATAGATAATAAATATTTAATTTATTATCTTTCCAACTAGTTTAAACCAATTTGATTTTATTTTCCAAATGACATCAAAATAACTTCAATATAATTATTCTATAGTGAACCCAAAGTCCAGTGGCATTTGAAAAAATAATGGTTAGTCAGTTCCTTTTTTTCTTTAGCACAGGCCTCCTCGGCTAAACTCAGGGTTTATTGTAAAATAATGATAAAATGGTAACCACTGGGTTTAAATTCATGGTCATCAAATTTAGTGTCAAGTACTTTTAGGCTTCTTGAAAAAACTTACAAAAAACCTGACTCAAGTTTCAAGATATTAAATTGGTCTTGCTTGAGAAACAAACATTATTTTAGAATAAATATCAAGCTAAATTTTCAGACTAGATTTCCCTTACATTGCTCTTTCCTTTTTGTCCCTCCTTATTGTATTTTTCACTTCTTTCAAATATAATTTTTGTTCTTGTAGGTTAGCTTGTGTATCATCTAACTGACTTCTGAGAACATCCTTCTCCTGAAGAACAACAGAAATTATCAATGCCAAATGAATAAAATCTGACTACCTTAGTACTTAAAACAAATAGAGAGTACTTTTGAGAAAATTTGTCCTTGAAAAACCATCTTGCACATACTGATACATAAATTGAAAAAAAAAGAAGTAAAATTCATTCATTCAGACAAATTTTTATGGTCCTAGATTGTGATTACTGTATCGTATTAAGCATATTTATGTACTGTATTTGTACACGGTTTTTTAGAACAATACTAGAATTGAAATTAATTTACAAATACAATGTCTCTATAGCTGCTGTATGATTTATGTATAGAAACCTGTTTATTATAGGGAATGGTATAAAAAGAATTAGTTTATAAGTATTCAAATTTAGTGATTTGAAAAGATAGGTAATTGTACCATTGGTTTTTTAAATTTTTTCTTACTTTCTTATAATTCATTATTGATATGGATTTGTATGTTTTTTGAGTGATGAAATGTATAAAATAATATAATAAAAATAATAATTAATTACACATCAAAAACTACTGCAAATTTATAATATTTAAACATTTAAAATCAAGAAAAACAAATTAGAATTACCTTCTGAAGGTGTTGATTTTCTTCCTTCATAATCGACTCAGATAAACTCAAATATTCCATTTTTTCCTCCAACTAAAAAAGAAAGAGTTACAAAAAAATTACAGTTAGCTACTAAATTTCTTTATAATTTATTATACTGCATGATGTTCATAAATCAATTAACTCCATAAAACATCAAAATGCCTATACAGAGCATTTTGATGTTTGGATAATTGTATTAATGATGATAGTAAATGTTAATTATTATCCTGGAATACCTGTTTTAAAGAGACTCTACCTCACTGGTGGGTCAGGGTTGAACATGATATAATGTTCCGTCCAACCGAGCAATTGTTCTCAGAGATTCATCTCAAGAAAGTTATTCTAGGGCTGACTGCTGTGATCAATTTTTAACTCACCTACGAAAATGGTACAAGCCCACTTTTCTCTAAAGAATGATTCACCAATCTTTCTGTGAGAATGAATAACTGCTATATGATAGGTTAAACAGGAGGCTAAACATATCACACACTGCCAGTGTGCAGTGAGGTGGAAAGTTTATATAAACTATGGCACGTGTTTTGCACTGACGAATGAACTATGTTTTAATAAGGCCAAATAAAAAGAATTACTAGTTTCTCATCGTCTTGCGTAAAATTCCTCTCTTTATTGTTCGTGGTTGGGGATACATATGGTATGAATCATGTCTAGTGCTTCTATTATTTGCTTTCAATGGGTCTACTTGGTAAAAGTGAGAAAGTATTAGCTGTTTCCCATCAACCATTTTTAATTTGTCATCTCATTAAAAAAAAAAATGCCCTCTTTCTCCTTTTTTTTTTAAATATTAGGACGAGAAACTTTTTATTTTTTACTTGGCCTAACAAGTTTATACCATTATTTACTAAGGGTCATTTCAAGAGGGTATCAAGAGCATTTGAATATGCTCATATATATATAACATATGCAATTCCAAATGTTGGTCTTCATTTAAATAATAATTGTTATTATTATCATCAATATGGTGGCTGATCTTGCAAATACATTAAAGTCCCTTATCACTGTATGTGTGTGTGGGTGTGTGTGTGTCAATGTGCAGTAGAAAATCATTTAGATTAAACAAATATACTGCAGGAAAAAAAATGATAATTAATATAATTATTTTTTACCTTCTTTTTCTGTATCAGTAATTCTCTCATCTCATCGTCTTTCTGCTCAAGCTGTTGTGACAAATCATTAACCACCTTCCGCCCTTTATCTTGCTCCTGCATCAACGAAGGTCGTACAAACACATAGAAGAAGTACAGAAATAACATTCCAAATGCGCTTAATGACTAAATATTCCACAGAAATGTGTTATATAATCCATTATACTTCAGAATAGTTAATTTTACAGGAAAGGTATATAATTCTGGAAAGTATATTGTACATTAACATTTCCAAAAGTTTTATATAACAGACAGATGTATTTCTTCATGCTTTCATACAAAATAGGATCTGACATATTTTTCACTTTTATTTAATCGAAATAAGAAATCATAATCAACATTTTTCCATAACTGAGAATAATTCAATAAATTCCCGCATCTGAAGACAGGTAAACTCATTGATAATGGAAGGGTTGATAATATTAAAAAATATTGCTGGATCGCTTTAACATTTGTGGTTTTCCAAATCAGTTGAGAATCCTTAAACAAAAACACTTGAATCCACTTAATTTAAACTTGTAACAAGTTCTCTATGTTCTGCCAAGGGCAGTCAATACTGAAATTAATTGCTAGTGCTTTTACCATCAGGTCACTTTTTGTACCACAACACAAAACATCCTTTACAAGCATATTGTTTCAGCAAGGCATTGTGCACAGACATCTGGTTACATATTCACAAATTCCTCTCTTCTAGACCATGATGGCTAATAGATCTTTGTAGTTTGAACATTTGAATAATCAATGAATCCATTTTCACAAGAAAAATACAATTTGCCAATACAAATAAGCTAATATAACAAAAATCCAGAGGGCATCTACTGTAAGCTACCTCAAAACACTTAGATTAAAGAGTATGTTTGAAACTTGAGGTCATATTTTTAATATATGCTGGTTGGAATGAAACATGCTACAGTTTGTGGGATCTCATGTCAAGGCAATATAGTTAAAAAAAATCATAACAAATAAATACTACTTGGAGTTGGTTGGCTAAGATGCTGTCAGCATCTGTGTTTATTGTATCTTGTCATGCTTCTAGGTACTATAATTAAAAGGTGTTTCCATTGAAGTCACGTACTGAACACTGAAAAACCTTTACCAATGGATAATATTTCCACATTACGATTACAAATAACTATAAAATTATATAAGAATAACAACATAAAATGTACAAGGACAATGAGGGACCAGATATTTAGTGATGGTTGTATATTTCTAAAAGCAATCGGGAGGGAAAAAAGAGGATGAAAGCCAGAAAATTATTAATGAGAGGGTCTAGGAAGTAGTAGATTGGATACAAACTATGGTGTAAATTCTGTAGGCATTCACCTTCCCCCATCATGATTATTGCAACATTTTTTTTCCAAGTATTTTTTTTATCACTGTATCAGTTGCTGATTGGTATCAACATACAAAGCAAAATAAAATTAGTATTAAGAAAGCTCACTTAACCAGATCTTCTGGAAGTAGCGTTTTTTCAGCTTAGACGAGACACTTATACCTTGTTTAGCAAACAAGTCGACTGCAAATATTTTTTTGTGGCACCCACCACCAAAAAAAATGGAAATTTCAGAAAGATATAAAAGTTTTTCTTTATTTTTATTACTCCCTCTGCTGCCTTGAAATTTCCAAAGATAAGGTATGTATATTTCTTCCTAATTATTTTAATTTGAAGCATTTTACCATCCTATTTTACTTACATTCACCAATAAAATTTTATTTCTATTTCCTCCTGCACCTGGATGATTTTGGCAAAACTATTTGCTAAACAAGAAAACAAAATTTTATTTTTATATTTATTCCACCCTCCTCCAATAATATTTTTTTTAAATATGTACGCGAAACAGGGAATAAGAAAAATCTCGCGTTAGGACCACTGATCTTAACAGACATCAAAGACTCCTAAATGTCAGAATTACTCACTCAGGAACATGAAATATTCAAACAAGAATTTGGAATGTAATACAAAATGCTGCACAATACCTCAGTAGCAATCCACTCATTTTTCAGCTTAGGACCCTTGATCTTAAAAAAGACTTCAAAGACTTCTAAATGACTAAGCCTGTTACACAAACATTGACTAAACAGAATTACTTACTCAGTTACATGAGATATTCAAACAGAACTTGGAATGAAATTATAAAATGATGCACAGTACCTCGGCAGCAATCCTCTCTTTCTCGGTCTTTAGCTGATGTTCCATTTCTTCGTACAGTTTCTTGACCTCTTGATCATGCACTACTGACCGACTAAAATAAAACGTGCACCAAAACTGATTAACATTGTATTAGGACGGATTTAGAGAGGGGGCATGGGGGAAACATGCCTTAATTTGATTGATTAAATGTCTATCCAAAGATAATAGGAATAGTTTATTACAACAGTTATTGGCCAGAAAAATATGACATAATCTTAATTCAGACTATTTTTAAAAATTTGTGACCAACTGGAAAAACCAGACACTTGTCTTAAAAAACGAATGTCCTCAAATCAGCTAAAATTCCCTTTGACTATCTTAACACGTTGGACCGAAAATATAAATTATCATATCTTTGCCATTTATTCAGATTTTTACAATTTTTGCATTCATTATTACCTTTTGGACCTCTATACTAGAAAGACCTAATAACCTAATTTTTCATTTCTTTAAGAGTTTTTGCTAGAGTGGGTCACATTTTATACATTTTATAATTAGGCTTCTACGATTACTAACGATTTCATTGCATTCTCTAACTCGTCTGTATCATGCTGTACCCTTCTCACATCCATTGATATTTTCTGCATAAAATCTTCAAAACGATTCAACAAGTCTGGTTGGTTGTCTTGCTTTAAATGGATCCAGATTTCTCTGGCAAGCTCATGACTGAAAAGAAAAGTCCCATCAAATACTACATAATTCAGTTTGTAGATCTGAATAATATACGGGGTCCTGTGATCAAATATAATAGAAGCAATACATTGTTTCATAACATATTTTATTATCTTTCTACAAAATTTACTAATGAACAGCACTGATGATTATTATTGCATTTTTTAACAAAACGTTAAGTGTGAAAAAGAGAAAAAAGCACACAAAACTCACAAAATGAGAATTTAAAATAGCAATATAGCTGCAGATTAAATGTTAAAGAAGCTCCCATATACCTAAGAAAACCACAAATACATAAATGCTACATACCCATAAAAATAGCATTTACAAGCACATACATACATGTGCATGTGATACACATATGTATGCATAAGTGAGAATTCCAATATGCCATAGACATGAGAAACACGCGTTTAAACGTAAGCATCAGAATTCCAATTATAGAAACACACTTTCATCAACAACAGAAGTATGCATTTTTTAATCAAGCAAGACAAGACATATTACACTACATTTTGGAGTACTAGCGAGTAAATCCAACTAACTGAAAAAAATGTGGCTACACCATTTTTAAATGGTAACATGCACAATTAATACTCATGGCATTGCGTGAGGAAATTTAAAAAAAAAAATTTAATTTAACATTTCATTCAATCATTGAAAATGCATTGATTTGGGGGGGAAACAATTTGTTTTCCAACCTCCAGGTGCGGATCAGATTTTCAATCCCTTGTTGTGCATTTCACCTGTGGTCTTGAGAAAGGCATTGCTTCTTTCCACCCAGTAGTATGAATAACATTGGTGGATCTAGAAATTCAAAATAGAGAAGGCCCTGGGAGGTACATTCATAGATGGAGGATCTAAGAAAATTTGTGATTATGGCACCTTTAGATAGCCAGGAATTGCACTGTCAGAGTTAAAATTTTAAATATAATTTTCTTTATATTTCCATTTTAAAAAAATTTCTAACAATTTTTTTTTGGGGTGGGGTCCCCCGGGATGGCTGCCCCCACCACCCCCTTGAATCCGCTACTGAATGAGTACCTGGTGGGGGTCAACTGTCACTGTGTCTATGGCAGCAGCACTGAAACGTGTGGACCGAATGACAATTGGGATTAAACAACTTGCTACAGTATATAATAACTACTGTACCAACACCATTTTTACTGGTCAGTTGCGTTCATATTCAATGGTAGAATTGATGGCTACTCTGGCATTGGGAGAACACTATGCTTCATCTCTTGATTCAATAAAAAAAAAAAAAAAGGAAATCTTTAATAAAGAAATGCACTTCAGACCAGATGAGTGTCTTTTCTGATATTATTAATCATAACAAAGCTAAATTATTGCACTGAATTGAATTAAGACATAATTAAAAACAAGAATTTACTTAAGCATTCTGTCAAAGTGGCAGGATACAGCAAGGCATGACCATGGCATGGCAAAGGTTTGTTAAATGGGGCTTTAGCTTAATAGAGCTTTACATCTCCCTGGTTAGAGTTTAGATATTTAGCTAGAATAGTAGAATATCATTCATTTTAAACAGAACAGGAATGTATAGTGATTGTGATACAATGTTCTCTTATTCAAATTCGAGTATTGTATATCAGCTGATGTACCAATTGGCAGCTCTCCTCCCCCACCATCAATGCCGTAGCCAGCTATTGGGACAGTTGGGACAATCCCACACAGTTTTTCTATTTAAATGGGTCCATGGAGGATGGGTCCACATTTTAAAAAATGGGTCCAAAATATGCAATTTTACGCCTAAAATAAGTCCATTTAAAAAAAAAAGGTCCAGTTTTTTTCATATTTAGCCTAAATTAGGTAACATTTTATGAAAATGGTCCAGATTTTTCATATTTTTGCGTATAAAGTTGGTCAACTTTTAAGAAAATGGGTCCAAATTATTTGAAAATGCGCATAAATTGTCTCCACCATGATATTTTCCCGCCCTAATCCTAATCCTAGCTACAGCACTGCCCATCACCCGCATGAGCAAAGAAACTCTTTAATTAGTTTTCTTTCTCCTGTTAGTACAGACCATTTTTCAGGATCCTTTTCACAGTTCCTATTTCAACGCCATGATTGTGCATATGGTCAAAATACCAAAAAATGGCACCATGAATACAAACACTGTACAAAAAAAAGCATGGCCTATGGCAAATAGTCTGATAAGTTTAGCAAAGAAAAACACAGCTAGAAATAAGTTGAAATGAAATACCTGTACTCGCCTCCAATGCTGTTGAGGAAAAAATTACCCATATGAAATATCTGAGTAAAAATCAGTATTTTGATGATATGAATGCAGGTAGAAAATATGACAGAAAGGTTTGTTATCAACAGGTCAGATACAATCAGCCTCTCCAATCATTCATTCATAATAATTGCTTGTTCCAAAGGTCATGGAACTGATAACAATATGAGTATAGAAACTTTCACTGCGAATATTTCAAATTCTTTGAATAACAATTGGAGAAATGTAAAATTATATAATATATATTATATGCATGCATACATACATATACATCACAGTACATACAATATATATTTATGTATACACATATATTTATATAACATTCTATTTGATAGTTATTAATGTATATATTATATATACATACATATAATTTATATATACTGTACATATATTATATTTTGCAAAACATTTAACTGTTTTATTCTTTGTTATACATTCATATCTATATAATATCACTCTAGAGAGCGATATAATAACCAATAATTGTCGTTCTGACACAAAGTAACTCAGAAGAGTCTTGAAGATCACAACCATGGCACAACCAATCACAATAACAAATATGTAGTGTTAATACAGGTTAGAAAGGAGTTGTTCAATTACTATTCCCACTCTAGAACCACCTTAATCTGATCAGTGTTGTGTTACTAATTAACGTAAACTTTAAGGTGGGTTCACACAAAACCTCAAATACTGTATAAGCAGTTTCGATTTGAAAAGGGTGGCTTTTCTGTTGAAGCAAAAATATGTTGTCACAAGAATGTTAGGAATAAGGCCAAACAAAAATCGGGGTCGGTGGGGAATTCTAATTCACTCATCCAATTTTTGTTTATCTTGGTTTTTATGGCCTGATGTTACTATAATTACTGATGACATGCAGACACTAATTTATTTATAAGCCATGGAATATTCACACCTAAGGCTGAAACATAGCGTGAACAATTTTTAGTCAGACTGTCAACAGTGAAAGCTGGGGTATCTAAGCATGGCCAGCTGAGTCAGAACTTGAATAGAAATCGCTGCACTAAGCCACCTTCTAAAGCCTGTTTTCCAATTGCGAATTTATTCGCGCGAGTCGAAAAAATGTGCGCAATCATCACAGCTCAGGAACTGAACCGATGACTTCGATAGTAGAAAAAAGGCTTAACAGTGACCACAGGACTAACATCAATAGTGAAAATTATAGATTAAATTTTGAAATGTAGCATTTTGGAGCACAGGTATTTTTGGCTCTTCCTTTACAATGTTTTAAAAATAGGGGAAAAAAGACCTAGTATTTTATGTTGGTAAAGGTTGCGCAATACAATAGACTTGTAAAAACTGAGTTTGATAGGAAAAGGCCTAACCACTGTATAGGGTTAAAATACAAGATCAACACACCATATAAACAAATAGTGTAGTGTTACAACAAGTCTGAAAGCAGTTGTGTAATTAATTCTACTGTAGAATAGCCTTGATCTGATCGATTTTTGTTGTTAAGTAATCCTAACTTTGGGGTGCATTCATGTACAACCTTATAATCTTTACAAGACGTTTGATCCGTTAAATTGATGGGTGCCCTTCTATATAAGCAATGTCTTCTTTGGAAAATGACACTTGTGTACTATTAGGTGAAAATACTAATTTCTGTTGCTAAACTGCAATTATTGCACACACAATACAAATTAAAACCACAGAAAATTTGATTTTACCTTGAGGTCAGGTTTTGAACATCTCGCAGGGCATTTCGCATGTGTCTCTGGAAAAGTACCTTAACCTAACTACTGTCTCTCTTCTCCCACCTTGAACCAGCGCCAGGGATCCCAAGTCGGAGGAAGTCATTTCCGGGAGATCTGCAGTGTCATGTTGAAGGGTGGGGGTGGGGCAGCAGAGACTTTTATAGATGGAGGGTAAATACCTCAGTTCCACCATGGTTGGAGGTGAGGTAAGAACATTTTTGATTTAGACACCCCTAAATGGCCGTAAATGGCCCTTTCACACACACTAATTTCCATGAGAAAATTTATAATAAAGCAGAGAAAACATGCAACATTATGAATTTCATGAGATAATTTAAGTTCCGGGAGTCTTTTGCTTGCTTGCGGGAGTGCACCCCGATTTCCGGGAGACTCCCGCAAGTTCTGGGAGACTTTAGACCCTTGCAGCGCCGATGTTAAGGCTGTAGTTAGCGGCACCCCTGTCTTACTGCTCAGTCACTCGACTGGTGTTAGGGCACAGAGGTCCTTAGGATAGCATGATGGGCTTATGTAAGACTGATATATCATTATCTGTATCATTACCATTATCGTTTAATCCTTATATGTATCATCATAATCTATATCATGATCATATCTGTATCATTTTCCGTATCATTATAATTATAAATATTAGCTTGCCAGCTTCACAGGATAATAATAATGATAATGATACAGATTAGATAAAGCCTATATGACAACTTATTAATGTGACCAATTATTTCACATTTTGAAAACATTGTCTCACCTCTGAAGAACTTCAGAAGCATCTATTGTTTCCATTGCTCTTTTGAAATCTTCATCAAGATTATATTCTTTGTTTTCATTAGCCTCAAATAACCCATCCACTTGTTCTTCTTCAACTGTCTCTTGAGGGAGTCCTAGGTAACCTCCTACAGAAAAATAAATTACATCGATAATATTATTACTGTAGTATTTCTATTACTATCACAACCTTTACCTCACCACTACCACTACCTATATCTCTACTGTTACCTGTACCAGAACCTGCACATCTATCTCTACCACTGCCTATACCAGTACCACTACCTAACAGAACTGTACTGTACTTGTACTATCACCACTACTGTAACTCTAATTACTACTACGTCTTGTCGACTCACTATATAGCTAGGTGTGTATGATCTTGCTTATGTACAGTAGTGTGGTAAAAGAATTCACAGGTAGGATACTTGACATGGACCGCGACGTAAATGCTCCTTCTGTGGCCATACAGGGGGCTAAAATGGACCAGTACACCGGGGTAACCCCCTACACTTCTCAAAGTATGTACTAGGTTCTTTAAAGTGCACACAAGCCAGTTGTGTACACTGGGCTTTATCCAAGAAGACTTGTTCCACCACCGGAACTATAGGCGAGTGTGCCATTCCTACTAGTGCTGATATTATGGCTGAATGTCACGGTTCCCGTCTGAACCGTTTGGCCAATCAACTCGCTGACTGTACCACTATCGTTTTTATTAATCACTTTAATAACATTTTAACCCCATGATGATTAGAATAACTTACAAATCACACAATATGCACTAACTTTATATTTTGTTTTTTATTTTTAAAAATGTTAAAAGAAAAATAGTTAAAAAAAAAAAATTATTAATAATAAATGCTTAAAAAAATAAAAGGGATGTTCAAATAAAACAGAGTTCCAACACCATTGAGCAGAGTCACGAGGTCAAATGGTAAGGTTACTGCAATCTAAGTGAGGGTTCAAGATCATAATTGCTCATTGTTCGGTAAGTAGACGTCCCAAGGTATAAGTTGGCTTGTGTGCCTTTTAGAAACCAACACATCTTCCATGAGGGCCGGTTGTAGGTACAGTATGGGGTTAATATATATTTTTAATTGTTTTATAAGCCATGAAATTCTTTCCCCTAGAGCTGAAACAGTGTGAACCACTTCACAGCCCATCAACCTTCCAAGCTGACGTATCTAAAGCATACTCGGTTGAGATTGATCAGCGTGTTGTTTCAAATTCTGAGGACAAATTCAACAACCAGATTGGAAACCGTTGAGACAAACTGACTTCACCAACACTGTCACTTTATTATGATAAAAAACTTTCATCAAAACCTACCGAACCCATCTGTAAATTCTTCAAGTGTCAGAAATCCATTGCCATCATCATCAAGAGAATCGAAGACAGCTTCCAATTGCTCGGGGCTTAACGGCAGCTCACTTCCGAGACGTTGCATGTCACGTTTTGTGATGAAACCTTTGTTCTCGGTATCGCAGATGAGGAACAGCTCACGTGACTTGTCCACTATCATGGCCTTCATCTCATCTGGTGTTGGCAACTCTTTCATCATGGTCGTGTTCGTATGGAGATCAGCCATCTGAAAATCATTCATAGATATTTTATTATCCCACAATGGGGAATATTGCTTGGCCATATGAGAGTAAATATCACAACAAAAATAATTATATACAAAAATACAGTACTTCTAATTTAAAATTCATTAAAAATTTTGAACTTTTAAAAATTAAAAAGAAAACTAATATTGCACCAAAGCAAAATAGCTATGGGAATGAAAGTTTATTTCATTATTTTGTTGCACAAATTGCAATTTTTGCTTTTATAAATTTGTTGTAAATGAGGATGAGTAAATGATTTACAATAAATTATTATTTTATTTATATATTAATTATTTTATAATTATTGTTATTTTATTATAATTATTGTAGATACATTGTGTAAATGCCAGAATTTTGATGAGTTGAAATTTCATCATGCTCTTATTGTTTCTAAATATATAAGAATCCTAAGGATTTCAATCCTCTGATTGGCTCTTAGCCAATCTAGACCCACACACTGACTGCCAAAGCACTTCAAAATTTTTACACAGCTTTTAGAATAATCCTTTCTCTATGGAATAATATAGAAGCTTGAGTTTGACATTTAAAATGTTTTGACAACTCTAAAAAAATGAATGCTGCCCTCACCTTAATATTGCTGGAAGCACTAGATACTGGAGTAACTAAATATATACATACTACGGTAAAATCATCAAGAACTGTACAAGCATCAAACCTAAAGAAGATACCATATGTTCAAAACAGCATTAAAAATGTGTAAACATCAATTCTAGATAAAACCAACATTTGATTAAATAGACATGAATATTCATAAGTTGAAAATACTCAACAGGTAGAAGAATAATATTGTAACCCACTGGTATTAATTCTTGCTACAAGTGTCAATTATAAATTATATCAACATCATAAAGTTTCACTTATTCAATATCCAGGTAAAAGCAATACAAGAGAAAAACATACAAACAATATTAGTAGAGCTATGCATAGTACACTGTGGAAATTCATATACAAAAAGGTTAGATTTTAATGCATATCAAAAATTTCCTTTAGGCCTGAACCTAATCTTCCCCTATTGTACGATAAAGCAGCTATACGAATTGCTTTAAGTCAATCACCGTCTTCAATAATGTTAGTTTTGATAATAAACCGTTATGTAGCATGCAGTAATTGGTTGCTATGGTGATATGATCAGACTGTGTGCATATTACATTTAGCTGTGTGCATGCTGATATACTCCTGCAGTACACGTTAACACACAGCTAGTGACGTTACACATCAGCAGTACAGTACAGATACGATGAATAACTATTGTGTTTGAAAAACTTGTTTTTAATGCTATTTCGATAAACATCCGTATGAAGAAATAAACATTTTACACTCAGGAATTTTTTACACTCAGGAATTTTTTTTCAAGCATTAAATTTAACCTTTGTATAATAATTTTCCGCTATTGTACTATGCACAGCTCTACTAATTGCTTATTATGCGAGGACTGCCAAAAGTGCAAACACTACCAAGTGACTATCTTTTTGCATTATGAGGACTAGTTGTACTATTTTATCATTGAATCATTGTGTACAGTATATCTGCTTATTAGAAAAATAGTCTTACGACCATCTGTTATCACATTACTAATATAGTAACAAGGTTGAGATATTCATGACAGTACAGCAGCATATTGCATATCAGACCACATCATATTGCCATCAACATCATTATGCATACCACCACAGTTATGATCAGGATGTCACCGCTATGGTCAATGCTATTGCCATCATAGTCATCGTCATCAACATTGACATCATGATCATGTTTATCACCATAAAGGTGATAATATCTTCTTCACTATCATCAAAATCACTACCAATATCATCATCGTCACAACCACATCCTGATCTATGACTTTGATGGCTAAAGATAATAGCGTACTAAATAGATGAGAGTGTGGTATAATAATAAAATTAATAATAATTGAGGGCCTCTTCAAGTCAGCTGTACTACTGTAGTGCAGCTGTTAGAGCTACCCTCGTGAAATAAAGTTAATAATAATAATAATAATAATAATAATAATAATTCTATACAGCTTCATGCTACATTACTAGTAGTGTAGTAATGGATGAAACATACAGAATCAATCAGAGCTAGTTGATGAAATGTCATTAATACCGCAACATCCTATAAAAGTACATATTTTATATTGAAAATATTTTAATTAGTATTACTGTACTGTATTGCTCTATCTATGGAAATCCTCCTTGCTCTCTATGATAAAATTCATACTACAGTAAACTTGTTTTTCAGGACTTACCATTATTGCATCGGTAGCAGAAACAATTCAATAACCTGCATTTTAAATCCTCATTTCAAACATGGTACTGCAAACAAACTTTCTGTATTAAAGTAAAGAAAAAGTAAAACCTTTGAGTAAATTTTAAATTGAAGACAAATGGCACACACTACTAAATGACTATTAAAATAAGCAAAGAAAAATGTTAGCCAATGAGCAAAATCAAACCTCGCACCTACACATACTGCCGAGATTGAAACACAATAAATTTTGTCTTTAAGTTTGGGTAAAATTGTCCCTCCACAGCAGGGATGGGCATAAAAATAGGTTGGAGCCAGCCAGCGATGAGTAAACTCGCCCACAGGGTGTTGCTGAGGGCGCCAGAGACGAGTATAGTCGTCAAAATTTGGGGTAACATTCTGGAGTTTATAACTTCTTTGTTATACATTGTAGAACCACAGACTGAACGGCTGGTAGTTCGGGGAAGATACACCTAGACGATAGCATACAAATGACATATGTATGTTTGTTGTGTTACGCTGCCAGTAGTACAATCGAGCAGCACACGTGGGGGCGCCCTTTGAACATACCAACCCATGCAAAAAGCAGATGAGATACAGTAACTCACACTTGGCATAGTCAATAAAACATTCTATAGTATCAAAGTGAAGTTGGCGAGTATATACTCGCCACATAATATTTTCCTGCCAATTTATTATCATTTTGATGACATATGACTAGATAAAATTTCAAAAAAGTATGTTTGTACATGTAAACTTGTTTTGGCGCACGGGAAGGAACCTTGAAGACTAGGGAAAATAAACAATTCTCACAGTTTGTACATTAGGTACTGAACCCATGCCCTTGGCTTGACAGGCAGGTACCAACTACACTGTACCACATGCTGCTTATATACTGCCTACTATAAAACCATATGTACAAATATTTCAAAATCTTACCATGAATACTTCAAATAGCATCAACTATGGAATGTATTCCACTAGTTTTAGAAGGCACACTACTGATAGCAGATTAGTACACACTTAATTCACTAACTGCCTATTAATGTTTTGCTGGTCAAAGTTCTCATGTAGATTAGTACATACTTAATTCACTAACTGCCTATTAATGTTTTGCTGGTCAAGTTCTCATGTTGAAAATATTCAAATATGACAGGGTCCATAATGCAGGCCGCCTACGTACCATGCTTTTACTTTCAAGTGAAGATACAATAGCCATACCAAGGGCAACATATGGTACCATGAGCTACAACATTATAATAAAACGTATCGGTGATTGGAATTTTGTTTGATGGTAAATAATATTGGTATCAATTGATCCTGTTTGTAGTCATGGAGTATAAGTCAAGGGTTCTCAAGTCTATTGCAATAGGGGCAAATAATGTTCACTGAATGAATTTGAAGGGCCAAGGCAAGAGGTGTACTAAGTTAGAAATTTTTTGAAAGATGCTCATACAGAACATCTTGACCTAAGAAATTAACCCTTGTGTTTGGAATGCAAAAGTAAAAATGTTATATAGGCCTATCACACAATGGGTCATCAGTAATACAAACCCCTACAAAGTTGTGTTATGATTCCTTTGCTGCGATACAGTAGTTCTTCCGATTTGATTGATTAAATCGTTACAATTTGTGGGGAAATATAGGCCTAGTCGGCAAAAAAGAATGCGACATTATTAAGGTTAGAAATCTAGGCCCAATCCTAAAACGGAATATATCATTTTCGGCTTGTTTTTGCAGGCCGCATAACAAGCAGTCGCAGGCCGGACATGGCCAGCTGAAAATCCCTGAATTAAGTTATTATTACAGTGTACAGTATGATGTGAATACCAAGATGGAGAGACTTAACTATACCTTCTGTTATAAAAAATAATATTCTCAAAGATATTTCATCTGATTTTATATAATATTTTATTGGAATGTAACTCTTGATAAACCAATAAAAATTAGTATAAGTTACTACGTTTCAGCTACTTTATAGCAGTACAGTATAAGTAGTAGTAAGTCTACTAATTTCTATTAACGTTTCAATAAAAGCGAATAATATTAATTAAAAATCATCAGAAGAAGCCATTTTAATTTTTTTTTTTTATGTTGTAAAAGCAAAATAGGTCTGCCAAAAGCATCTGTTTGTAGGTTAAGGAGAAAAAAATATAAAATAAAATTTTATCAACACGTTGACTGCCACACCTTCTTTTAAGGTTCCTTCCCATGTGCAATTCCGTGTCATTTTTACGTTATCGTCTCGGTGTATCTCCCCGAACTACCAGACGTTCTGCGTCTGGTAGTGCATGGTTCTGCAATGTATAACAAAGAAGTTATAAACTCTAGAATGTTACCCCGATTTTGACGAGTATACTCATCCCTGGCGCCCTCAGCAACACCCTGTGGGCGAGTATACTCGTCGCTGGCAGCCAACGTGTTAACAATTAAAAAAATGATCGTAAAGAATGTAATGTTCTTTACTGAACATGTTCGGTATTTGCTTGATAAAATGATTTAAATTTAGTAAGAAATTTCTTACTACTAGAAGGCTTGATCTTTGCAAAAATTACTATGTTAACTTAAAAATTCCAATCATATCTTATTGTCTTCTTTCATGATTATAATCTCCGTTCTTTACTAACAATTTCAAATCCCTAATGTTAAAACAAAAAGATCAAAACCTTTTTTTTTAATTAATTTTGGCATTTTTAATAACTGGTAGAACCAACATTGGGTGTACCATGGAGGAAATAAATTATGTAATTTCTTTATCCTAATTTATATCCTCCATGGTTGGCTCATTTTTGTCTTAAACTTAAATTTTTATCCTAAAATGTATATAAGATTTATAATTTATTTTTTTATTTCAACCATTTTTAAAGAGGTTAACCCTTCCAGTTTAGCCCAGTAGGTTAACTGATATTCAGGGGCCCTCTTTAATAAAATTTAAAAGAATAATATTAAATAATAATAATAATAATAAAAATAACAATAAAAATAATAATAACAATAATAATAATAATAATAAATGTTTTTAAGTGTTGTCTTTTTGTCATATTCATTTTGATGATTTCCTTTTTATGTGAGAAGTTAGCCATTTTAAGATTTTATTGTTTTACTATTGATGATTTTTACGTGTCTTGCAATAAAGTTTTATTGAAAGTTAATATTATCTAGATTAATTTAAAAGAGCAAATCATCATTTTCATTTAGACTTGTTACTACTTTAAAATTCCTAGTGTTTACTGTTAAAATATGCAGGTTGTACAGTACTTAGCAAGTAAATTATACTATTGAATCAACTAATTGACAATTAACATTTTGCTGGTATATTTTCACATAATCAAAATATTACAATAATTACATAGCATGCTTATAAATGCATGGTGTACAATTGTAACCAAGGGCAACATATTATACTGCCACACAGTAGCTTAAAACTTCATCCAATATTGTGAATATTTAGAAAGAAGATATAGAATATTACACAACACCTGTACATATTCTATTAACTTGACTGGTTGAAAACAGGTCACATGAGGTTGATTTAAAATGACTTTGATGGTTATTTCAGTACTAGTCAACTTTTTCATCTCCAAGACAACAAAAATCTCAAATGCAACGTGAGCGAGAAAAATTATCGTAGCGCGCCTTGGCTGCCCGTGACGACGTCACAACCTGCACGTCAACAGTGAGTTGGTCAGTCAGTGCCCTCGCTCTGCATATAAAATGGCAGGTTCATTAGGTACTGGGCCATTTGTACTTTTGGGCGAAGAAGGTTTGGGGGAATTACTGAAAGGAAGTGATGCCGAATCAACAAAAAAGGCAGTAAAATATACAGTATGGAGTATTTCGCCAGCTTCAGTGGTGAGGATGAGTCTATTCTATTAGCTGAACTTGATGGCTCCTTATAATGTATTCGAAAGCAAAGCCTGCAGGCAATGTATAAAGTAGGTGTTGTATAAAACAAATAATGGATATTTCTGATTCATAATGGGGTAAAATATTTCATGAGGTGGAAGATTGGATGTTCTATTCAACTCGGCTACGCCTCGTTCAATAGAACATCCAATCTTTCCCCTCATAAAATATTCTACCCCATTGTACTCATCAACATTCATTATTTGTATAATAGTAAACCTTCCTGTACATAGTATGGCCATAAAATTATAAATCCCTTCCCCCTTAAAAAAAAGCTTCCCCAACCCCCATTACATCTACACTGAAAATGTCTGAAAAACAAAAATCACCTCATATCGCCTTATTTTGCAACCTAGTGTCCACTCACTCAATCATCAAGCTCCCCCACCCCCAACCCATTTTCAATACTTCTAGATATGCCACAGTTTTGGATCCTCTGGTCTAAAAACAAATGTTCTAATGAGGCATGGAAAGTTTTATTCATATATTGTTGTGAAAAAAAAAACATACTTTTAGCATTCATTTCTTCAACAGGAACTTGAAATTGGATAGCAAGCTCTAATTAGGGGAATTCAATCAACTGGGTATGGAAACTTTACTCTGTTCCTCCTAGTAATAAGACGTTCCTCATAAGATTAATTTATTCCTCCTTAATAAAAACAAATATATTTCAGTCAATAACATGAAAAAAACAAAACAAAAAAAAACAAAAACAAAACAAACAATTTTATATGATAAATGGAGGGAAGGACAGAGGAGAAACTTTTTTATCTTCCTATAAAGTGAAAAATAAATACAATTAAAAAAAAAATTGTTTATTCTAAAAGAAAACAAATAAACATACAGCATTTTATCAGTCCACCCAGTAAAGTTTCTGAGATTCCCATTCTCCTCTCCTATAATTATCCATCCAAATGTCTTACCTAAGGTATATGTAATATTGCAAAGGAAAGCAGCTTAGTTCATAAAGTCTATCATCATATCTAGCTGGTGCACAATCAATATTTGAATTTCAAATCCGATTTTCCTTACTCCAAACACTGCTAGGTCATGTTCGTGTTTAGCATAAATGATTATCATGGTAAATTCTGAATATGTAAAAATTCTATTTCAAAATAATTTTTGAGGATGAAATCCTATTGGCATTTTTTTTTTTGCAATCCACTGCCTGCCGATA